GATTCCACCTCACCCATTAGAATAGCCGTCATCAAAAACACCACCACCACCAAGTGTTGGTGAGGATGTGGGAAGAAAGGAACCCTTGTACACTGCTGGTGGGAATGCTAGCTAGTACAACCACTCTGGAAAAAAATTTGGAGGCTTTTTAAAAATCTAAACATAGATCTGCCATATGATCCAGCAATCCCACTCCTGGGGATATACCCAAAGGAATGCGACATAGGTTACTCCAGGGGCACCTGCACACCCATGTTTATTGCAGCGCTATTCACAATAGCCAAGTTATGGAAACAACCAAGATGCCCCACTACTGACGAATGGATTAAGAAAATATGGGATTTATGCACAATGGAATTTTACTCAGCCATGAAGAAGAATGAAATCTTATCATTTGCAAGTAAATGGATAGAACTGGAGAACATCATTCTGAGCAAGGTTAGCCAGGCTCAGAAGACCAAACATCATATGTTCTCCTTCATATGCAGACGTTAGATCTAGCACAAATACAGCAATGTTGTTGGACTTGGGTCACATGACAAGGGGAGAGCACATAAGGGAGATATGGGGATAGGTAGAAAAACCAAAACATGAAAGTGTTTGATGTCCCCACTCCAGAGGAACTAATACAGAACCCTTAAAGTGACAAAGGTCAACACAAGAAGGGGATCAGGAACCAGTGTAAAGATCAGTTAGAGATGAATCAACTTGGGTTGTAACATATTTGTACATGGAAGCGATGCTAGGAATTTCTCTGTATAGCTATCCTTAACTCAAGTAGCAAAAACGCTTTGTCTTTCTTATTATGCTTATGTCTTCTCTTCAACAAAATGAGAGATAAGGACAGAACAGGTTCTGTCTGGAAGTGAGGGGGCGGGTTGGGGGGAGAGGGTAGGGGCAGGGGGCGGGGGCAGAAATGACCCAAACAATGTATGCACATGTGAATAAATGAATAAAAAAAAGAAAAATTTCAAAGAAAGAAAAAAAAGATATTATATAAAAAGATGTCATGAGGATAACAGGAGGCAATTTTCTTTTTGTTAAAGAGGGAAAGAGAATTTTAGAGAGTGAACAAAACTGAAACACTTTGTATCTGTTTAGAAGATAATATTAAAGCCCAATGCAATATAAACTTTGAACAATAGGGGAGCAGAGTGATAGATAAAGTAAGTAAAAGAAGGGTTAATCTGATTAAAGCATGATATGTACATGTCTGAGATGCCAAGATGAAATCCCCATGAACAATCAATATACACTTTAAAATGAAAGACAGGAAAGTAAAACACATCTGTCTAGGGGTGGGTACCACTAGGAAGAGGGAGAGCAAAACGAGAAGGTGAGGGAAGGCAAATATGGTGGATGTATTTTGTATTCGTGTATGAAAATAGAACAATGAAACCTTCTGAAATTGTTCTAAGAAGGAGGAGGGGTGATGAGGGAGAATGACGGGGGATCTAATTAAGATATATAATAAGCACATATGTAAATGTCACAATGTATCCCCCATGTACACCTATTATATGCTAATAAATTTTCAAAACTTGAAAAAGGAAGGAACTTACAAATATAAAAATGGAAAATTTAATTAGAGGTATTAATATGAACTTATGGCTTTAAGTAGATTATAGATGGATACTATATATCCTAACCAACTGAATAACATAAAACCTACACATACATCCTGATACACAAAAAATAAATAAAAGACTCTTCTTTATAATAAAATACTAACCAATAAACATAGAAAGAATGTTGGTATTAGAAAATCATAAATGGAGGTTGACAACATATACTGGCAAGGATGTGGGGGGAAAAAGGAACCTTCATGAACTACTGGTAGGAATATAAATTAGTGTAGCCATTATGGAAATGAGAATGGAGATTTCTCCAAAAAACTAAAAATAAATTTACCATATGATCCTGCTATACCATACCTGGACACTTATCTGAAGGAATGTAAGTCAGCATTCAACAGAGACATGTGCACACCCATGTTTATGATAGCATTATTCACAATAGCCAAGTAATGGAATCATCTTAGGTGCCCATCAACAGATGAACATATAAAGAAAATGTAGTACATATACACAATGGAGTACTATTCATCCATAAAGAAGAATGAAATTATGTCATTTGGAGGAAAATGGATGGAGAGATCATCATGTTAAGCGAGATAAGCCAAGCTCAAAAAGCCAAATATCACATGTTTTTACTCATATGCAGAATTGAGACCTAAAATAATAATAACAATAATACAGGGGTGTTGGGGGGAACCAGCAGGTGAGAGGAGGGGAAAAGAAGAGGGTGACAGGGGATGGTGAATATTATAGAAGTATATTATATATAAATAAAAAAAGCATAAGGAAACTCACCAAAATCTGTTCAAAAAAGAGGGGTGAGGGAGGAGGGTGGTTAAGAAAGAGTAAGATAGATAGGGTGAATTTGATCAAAATAAGTTATATGTATGTTACAAATACCACAGTGAAACCCCTTTTTACAATTAATTTACTCTAGTAATTTTTTTTAAAAGAAAGAGTAAAAGAAGGGGTGATATGATCAAAGTACACTATATGCACATATGGAAGTATCACAATAAAACTCCTTGCTTTGTACAATTAATATATGCTAATAAAATAATTTTAAAATGAATTTGAAAAAACAACAAATGGAGGCAAAAATTAGCAAGTAAAACAGTGAAGAAGAGCAGGCTATTTGCATAGACTCAAAGTATCTCCCCACAAATTTATTTATGAATTATAATGGGAAAGAAGCAGTAGCTCTCTAGTGAAGAAACATGGTAGGTACAACCTTGACCAAATAATCAAAATAAACATCATCAATAATAAGTTGATTAACATTGTGCAGCTCCTGATAGAGTACACTGAAAAGGGCATACCATCACTTCTGTAGTATTCTGCCTGAAGATGTATAACTTAAATCTAACCATGAGGAACATCAGGCAAACCCAGACTGAGGAACACTCTACCAAATAACTGACCAGAATTCTTCAGAATAGTAAGGTAAAGAAAAAGAAGTATGAGAAACTGTTTCAGATTAAAGGCATTAAAGAGAAATGACAACCACATACAACATGTGAAACTAGATTGGAAATTGACATGGGGGAAAATTACCTGTATTATATTAAAACTGTCAGTTGATAAAATTAGAATACAGACAGTAGTTTAGTCAACAGTGTTACCTGATTTTAATCATTATACTCTAAATTAAGTACAAATAGAATGGTTTTTTGTGTTAGCAAATATACACTAAAGTACTTAGAGGTAAAAGAGCACAGTGTCTACAGTGTACTTTCAAATCATTCAGAATATATAAATAGATAATGAAAACATCTGGACAAAATGTAAGCAATTGTGAAATCTGTAAGGAATATGCAGAAGTTCCTTGAATTTTTTTGGAGCAGTACCAGGGTTTGAACTCAGGGCCTTGCACTTGAGCCACAAGCCCAGCCCTTTTTGCTTTAGTCACTTTTAAGATAAGGGCTTGAGTTATGCCCCATGCCAGCCTGGAGTAAGATCCTATTTATGCTTCCCACATAGCTGGGATGACAGTCATTTGCCACAGCACTCAGGTTTTTATTGACTCAGATGGGGTCTTGAGGACTTTTTTCCCAGGTTGTCCTGGATTACGATCCTCCTATTTATGTTTCCTGTGCCGTTGAGATGGCAAGTGTGAACCACCATGCCCAGATATTGGTTGAGATTTGCAAACTTTTTGCCTAGGCTTGCCTCAAACCACAATTTTTCTGATCTCCATCTCCCAAGTAGCTAGGATTACAGATGTGAGCCATTATACCCAACTCCTTGAAATATTCTTGAGGGTTTTCTTTAAGTTTGAAATCATACCAAAATGAAAACTCACCACTCCCCAAAAAAGATGTCATGGTCACACTCCACCTTGGATCAATACCTATCTTTTTATTCCCAAACTTCTAGTTTATCAGCTTCCCCAGGTTTGGCCCTGTCTTGTTTCCATACTTTTTATACAGCTTTCTGTTTGACATCCTGGACCATCAAACGACTGGGATATTGCCTACTTTAGGTTCATCTGGTCCTCCTTCTGGACTCATTTCTCATTATTTTCCCTTCAGCTCCAGGCACCAAAATCACATGGAAGGGAAATACCAAATCATAATGTCTCATTCACCTAGGACACATCCTGTTCACCTATGGGCCACATTTCTTCTGTTTCCATTGTTTTCTCACTTATACAGTGTTCTCAATGTATAAGTGCCTCATTCAGACCTGTTGGGATGGTTTGAAATTGCCTGCTTCCTAAATGTGGAGGAATATATGATTACATTCTAAAAGCGCACTTGCAAGCATCTGAAGGAACCTAAGGCAATATTCACAAAGTTCAAGGATGAGCCAAGAGTGTAAATGGTTTGGAAGAATCACCCATCTTATCTATAGGCTGCTTCCTTAAGTATAAAGCATTCAAGGACTCTTTGAACATAATTAGTAGAGTTAGAGGAATAACCATTTTTAAACAGCAATTAGCAAGTAGCTGTTCCAGGTCTGAAAAATGGGGATTTGGATGATACATTTAATTATATTTAATTATGATACATTTAATTGATAGTAATCATAATAGCTATCATTTTATGCAGAATCTATGTGCCAAGAGATAAGCAAGACGCTTTATATATATTGTCTCTTTTAATTCTTATTCCCACCTTGGAAAGAAGGAAGGAAAAAGTAAACATTAATATGTTCTTTTTACAAATAAGAAAATTAAAGCTCAGGAAGTTTGGGTGACTTCCCCAGGTTAATATATAGCTCTTAAGCAGTAGAACTGTGATTTCACTCCTTCATGTTTCTTTGATTCCAGGACCTGTAATTTTGCCACTGTGTCACATGATCATAACAAGCCTGTTTCCCTGCCCTTGTTTATGAAGGGAGCTTCCTAGCCAGCTGGTATTAATTACTTTGGAGAAGGGACTGAATTTAGTAGGAATGTATATAGATGAGGATTTCTCATACCATTTCAAACACATCACTTGCGCTTGATTTGATGGACTTAATGTCTCCAAAATCTCCAGGAGGGATCTTTTTCAGCCACACCCAATCACCCTGGAAATCAAAAGAAGAAAACAGTGATGAGACTTAGTTCCCTGCAGTTTTAAAGCAATGTCCCTTCTACAGCTCAAACAGACTTTTCCCTCCTTTCCCACCCTCCAACCCATGCAAATTCTGTATTCTGAGCTACAATGAGGTCACACAGAGAAAAAGTTAAAAATGCCAATTAACTCAAGATGTAAACAGCTACAGGTATGCAGAGCCCCTCAAAAGGAAGGGCAATACTCTCTGAAATGCCTCCCTTAACTAAGTGCAGAAAGTTTTAGGTCATTTCACTTCTTCATAGCTAAGTGATGTGGCACCGGGTTTTCTGGGATTAATGGTGATGGTTGGTGGTAGCAATTCCCACTGCCTTGAGGCGTCTGTGGCAAGAGATATAGGGGCAGGAGATGTAGTGCAGCAAATGTTTCCTGAATTTTCTTTGGTCCATTTTTCTCCTGTGGCACAGGTCTTTGAGGAGGAAAGGGCTCTTATGTTTTCATCATAAACTGGTTTAAATGTAGATTAAACATTTTTATTTCAATGCAAAAATAGACTACTATAGTAATAAAGTAGACCCTTTCAAAAGTCTGTTTCCAACTTTTTCATTCAAATTTTTTTTAATTTTACATGTTTATAGAGTATCATGTGATGATTTGATGTATATATACAATATATAATATCCAAATCCAGGTAATTAGCCTTTCTTCTTGACTTTTGAGATATAAAATCGCTATTTCTAAGGCTACTGTCAAGTCAAAAACAATTATTTCATGGACTTCACTTTAACACCAGTGCCTGACAGATAATTTTCTTCTACATGCATAGCCTCAAGGATTCATCAGTCATCAAGCCTTATTTAGTTCTGTCCAACCCAAAAGTTTTAAAGAGAAATATAAATATAGATTTCCTTTTCTCTGTAATAATTTTTATGCCTTATATTTGCACAATGCTCTATTTTTCAAAGTGCCTTCCCATCTATTACCTATAGCCTGGAGATTCCATTTCAGGTTGTACCAGCTTGTCATCAAGTAGAGATAATAAAGCAGAGAGCTCTGTACAATCAAATTCTGAAAATAAGAGAGGGTAACCCTCTCTTATTAAGGAATATATCCAGCTGTAGCAGTGCATCTGGAAACTTGCCAGAAGTAAAGGCTAACGGGAGCTGCAGGCCACTGAGTAACTAGACTGCACTTTGTGTTAACAGCATCTTCCAGTCAAAAAGCTCAACGCCCTTTAAACAGGGAAGAGCTTCAAGAGACCTTCAGCAGCTGGACAAACCTCATGAGCCAAGCTCATTGCCACTGATCCTGGATCAGTGTCTGTCTGCAGCAGAATGATCAAAGCATTTGAGTCAGCAATTCTCCAAGAGTGCCCCTGGACCAGCTTCATCACTGTCACCTGGGAACAGTTAAAAAGGTCAGTCTTCAAGTCCTACCCAACATTTATGGAATCAGAAATTGCAGGGATAGGGCTAGCAACCTGGGTTTCATCAAGCACTCCTTGTGACTTTGATATGTGTTCAAGTTTGAATCCCAGTGTTTCAGCCTTCCCCCTTGCCTCATCAGTGTGGGACTCTTACCGCATACCCTCTTTTACCTTACATGAAGCTTTTCCTATCAAACTCTGCTCTCAGAATTGAGGAGGGACTGACCCAAACTTTACATTTTACCCTTTACAGAGATCAGAGGCTAAGTCTTGAGCCAGAAGAATAAAAATTTTGCTAGGATTTTACAAAATCAGCAATGTGTGGGATATCCTGGTGAACAAAAAAGTCTTCCCACCACCTTTGCAACTATGTTACTAGACCTACAGTCACAACTAAGAGTTGGCATCTTAGTGCTAATTAGAAAAGGGTGTTTTCTTTCCAGCATAAAAATTATTTCAATATATCATTGTGCAGCCCTGTGATATTAGGCAGCAGACTTGACTGCATACATGCATGCATGTTCCTCACTTAACTTTACTCATACACCCTCTAGACACGAAAGAGCGTATTCCACTAGCAGCAGGATATTCTGCACAGCACCAACCTCTGGCCACCAAGGAAGGACTCTTTGTACGTTTAGAGTCAGGCTATAGTGGCGGAAGTTGGAAGCTGGACTTGAGGCTCCAAGAATAGTAAGCAGGAGAGAGAGAAAACTTCTGGGGCATAGTCTAATGCATATCAAGTTTCACATGTAATTACCGGTGACTTTGTATGTGCATAGTTAGACATGCTGGTATACACTTAGATGTTAGAAGGCTCTACATGCCACCCTGTACCAGACCTAGGCTGGGAGGCCAGAATCTCTGTTCTTTCTCCTGCACAACTCTTACTTAAGTTAGTATATATCTTCACTGTAAATCAAGCCCTCTTAAATATGATGCCTTTGTGCGGCACACAACTGAAACATCAGTACTAGCAGCCCTGACTGCCTTACACCTGGTATCTGATACCTTCTTTCTGGAGTTTGCTGTACTGCAGGCAGGAGTTGATCTTCTTTCTGGATTATTAACTGCCACAAATAGTATGAATATTTTTTTCCTGCCAATTCACTAAAAGTGAGAGCTGGGAAAGGTCTCATATTTTGATAAGGAAACTGAGGCCTCAAAAGACTGCCATACTTAAATTCAGAAGATGAAGCAGTAAAAGACCCAGAACTGAACCAAGGTCTTTCATCTCTTACTTTATTCCTCTTTCCCCTTAATGTGTTTCCTTTTGTTTGGGAAATCTGTGTATATATTTTTTTAAGTTCTCACAAACTTTGTAAACAAGTTTTTATTGAGTCTGTGTGTATCCTACCTCATGAATAATAAGGAAAAAGGAGGAAATGGTTTGGTTTTATCTTCACCACACATGCACTATTTGTTTTCTTTTGTTCTTTTCAGAGACTGATAAAAAACTTCACTCATCACTCACTTTTTAATTAAGAGGAAGAAACATCAAACTATCCACTATGGTTTCAGAAGTAATTTAAAGTCCATCAGGTTTGTACTAAGGCCATGGTGGATAAACTAAGTCGGAGAACAAGGTATAGACTGGCTCTGCTTCAAACTCAAGGGTGAGTGCCACAGCCACTTCATCAGCCTGAACTTCAGTTTGCCCACCTTTAGAGCTGGACTAGGTCCTTGTCTAAGATGCATTTTAAGATGATTTTAAGATGAAACAGAGAAGATAGTTGGTGGGAGTGATAGGGGCAGAGAGAGATCTGTAAGTGATATAGAAAGTGGGGGGACAGTAAAAGGCTCTGAGAAGGGGAGATAATGGGGAGAGAGAGAAAGGTGAAACAAAAAGGAAAACAGAGAGAGAGGTTGAGAGGCCACGAGGCCAAAGGAATCAGAAAATGAACAGCGAAGATGAATTTAGTGGGTTCTTCCCAAGTATATCAGGATTACAGTGCTTCTCACCCCACCTACAATCTCCTAGACTATGGTACTGGAGCAGGTTATGACACGTCCCCCACTGCATCTGACATCACAGTGCTTTCAGCAAATCTGGATTTCCTTTCCATATTTTGAAGATTATCTATGAAAGAAGGGCTGATTTTACATTTCAGTTCTGAAAGTTATGCATCTGTATATACAATAAAAGGGTGAATTTATGTCCGTGTAGTACAATGGTATGGTACTTTTCCTAGAAAAACCTGTCTTTTTGCTGTTGAGTGTCTGCTACCCCTAACATTATCTCACATGTTATCTGGAACTTCCAGAATTTCCAAAAGCAATTCTTATGAAAATTTGATTTATTTTAAACAGAATCTAGATAAAGTCTTCCTAATAGAGGACCATTTAAGAAGACACACTGGACTTCTTTATTTGATCTATTGATTCAGTTGACTTATGCTCCCTCCCAAAGTCTTCCTTAGCCCTAGCCAGGAAGTTTTCTAGTTTAATCTGTCTTCATTTACACCTTGCTCTCAGCTTAATCTTGACTCCATCATGCAGTATTTTTCTAACACCCTCTTTTTGCAAAGATAAAGATCCCCCACTCAGATCTGATTGACCAATAGTCATTCAGGGAACTAGCTCAGCTCCCTGCCTCCATCCAAAATGAGGAAATATCTTACAGACTCTTAAAGGCCAGTTACATACAGATGTTTATTTTCTCCTTCTCAATTCTACATTGTAACCTTCCAATCCCACCAAATAAAACATACCACAATTTGACACTTAAATTCTTCTACAGAATCAAAGAGTCATAGCATATCCATGCCAGAAATAGCCTTTCAGGTCTCTCAGTCCAGCAATTATCAAACTTGCATGTATGTAACAATGGTCTTAAAAAATACCAATACCAGGGTCCTACTCCATACTAACTAAATTCAAATTGCTAGGTGTAGGGATCTGGACATAAGTATTTATATTTAAGTCTCCCATGGAGATTCTAATGAGCAGTCAGGATTAAGAACTCAGTTCAACCCCTTATTTTGCAGATGAAAAACCAAGGCTACTGATATGTACCTCAGAATCTTAGATGTGTCCATATAGTTGTAAAGCCATCAACCCATTCCATTTGACATTACAAAGTTCTCTGATTACCTTATCTTTAGTTTTTAAGAGAGTAACACAGACAATTTCTCAAAACCATTTGAAGCAAGTCTCCTCTTTGATTAAGTCCAAGGCAAGATCCAGAGGTTTCCTACTGAGAATTTAAGTCAAAGCTCTCGAGTATATTGAAAAAATATTCCATGCCAATATTGGTGTTATAGTCCTGTTTTAATCCATTTATAAGACTGGGTAATTTGTAAAGAACAGAAATTAATTTTCTCACAGTTCTGAAGGCCCAGAAGGGCAAGATCAAATCACCAGTAGGTCTGGTTGTCTGGTGAGAGCTGCTCTCTACTTCCAAGATGGTATCTTGTTGCTGCATGCTCTGAAGGGGAGGAACATTATGTCCTCACATGGAAGTAGGTGGAAAGGCAAGCTAATCAAATGTTGCATGAAGTCTCTTTTTATAAGGCTCTTAGTCCCTTCCTTGAGGGAGGAGCCCTCCTGGTCTAATCACCAAAGATTAGGTGTTAAATTGGCCATTCAATTTCAACACCTGATTTTATTTATTTGGTTTTTTTTTGGTGGTACTGGAGTTTGAACTCAGGGCTTCATACTTGCTCAGCAGGCACTCTACCACTGGAGCCACACCTCTATCCCCTTCAACAGCTGAGTTTTGGAGGTGACAAATTGAAACCATAGTAAGGTCCCTGTGCTATTCACTTGGAAAATCCAATGTGGTTGACAATGTAAAAACTCATTCTTCGTTGTTTTGGACTTTCTTTGTAGTTACTGTTGAAGTTGAGAGTGCTTGGTGCTCTTGGGAGTATCTTCAAACAAAACAAGGAAACCACACTGGGAAGGTCTCACTTAGGAGGAACACAAGAACAGTCTAGTTTCCCTTTACCCCCTGCTTAACTCTTTCCTGCTGAGAAGAAACAGTTCATCTCTCCAACTGATGCAAGATTTGTTCTGGTTGCCAAATTCCAGTATCTTAGAACAAGGGGTAGGGACTACCTCTTAAATCTTGAAAGGCAGAAACTTCAAAGAAATAAAAAGGATTTCTATTTTATACAACAGAAAGTAACCTGTTACTCAAAAAGGCAGCACAAGTAAAGGAAAAGAAAAAAAGAAAGAATTTTTAAAGATTCAATGGCACCAGCAGATAACAACTATAAGAACAACTAGACTTTGAAGAAAAGGACTACCCCAAGCCCTACTCTGAACATCTCATCCAAAACTGGGGGTGCAGGAAGTTATTTCTTCTATGATGATAGTCTTGTATTTCTTTCTTTACCTATGTGGGATGAGTGAAACGTTGTAAGTGTTCGGGTCTCAAGTACTTTTTCCACATACATAGTAAATATATGGAGTTGAAATATCAATAAAGTATGTAGATTGGTTGCTGAGGAAAAACATTGTTAGAAATGTCAAGTGGACACTGACAAGAAACTGGAATGACTTGCCAAAATCTTCGATTTTTACCCACAAACTGATTCCTAAGTCACTACCTCATTTTAAAACCCAAGAAGGCAGCACATTAGATAGCTGTTGGATATCTTACCTCATAAATTGCTATGTTGGATTTTTCATAAGTAACTGGAGTTAGACTCCCTGAAGAAAAGGAGAGCTGGGGGGATCTCCCACTTTGAACCTCTGAGATGATCTGGAAGCTTACACTGGCACGACTTCCTCTCTGTGAAAAGATTAAGAAAGAAAGGTTATAAATAAATTTCTCATGATTTAAGGGAAAACTTTGAGACTTTTTTTCCTTTTTTATTCATAAGAAAGTAATTATATGAGCTGAACCCTATACATATGAGATTGATTAAACTTTCCTATCCTTCAGGAATTTTTTTAAGTTCATGCTTGGTACCTTGCTTGACCTCCATCTGCCACCAAGAAAAGGTAAAGGTTTGCAGGTGCGTCTATCTCCTGGAGAATGTGAATCATAGATATAGGAGGTAGGAAAGAATACCAGTCATAATTCAATCTGGGACCCTGATTTTCTAGACTAGAAACCAAGACCAAAAAGAGTGAAATGAGTTTCCCTATGTGATATAGTCAATGATTTAGTTACAAGAAATGTTGTTTATAAATACATTTTTAATGGCAGAAGTAGGACAGAATCCCACCCTCCTGACTCTCAAGACTGGTTCTTTTGGTGTACCATACTGCATGGCATGCTTTGTACAGGTAAAATTAATGGCAGAGGGTATTTAAAAAGCAATAAGATGGTAGAGAGTGAGCAGATCATCTGCCCATGATTTATGAGTCTGATGCTTAAGTAGGCCAAAGTATTCATTCCTTGATTTGTTAACTTGTACATAGTCTGATTTTTTTTAAAAAGCTGGGAGCTTCACAAATATATGACAAGATGAAGACTTACCAGCAATCTGTGTTCATCTTTGTAATTAAACTTTTTGCCCTGCCTGGGTAAAAATTCATGATACCCCATCTCAATCATTGGCTGGTATGGTGGTATACACCTGTCATCCGAGGTATGTAGGGAAGCACAGATATGAGGATCATGGTCCAGGCCAGCCCAGGCATTTTGGTTATCTCAAAAATAATCAATGCAAAAAGGCTGATAGTGTGGCCCAAGTGGTACAGCACTTAGCTAGCAAGCACAAGGTCCTGAGTTCAACTCCCAGTATCACATAAAAAAAAATACCTCACACCAATTGCCCCTTGGGGCCTATACTGCTTATGGTATCTGATCCCTTTCCTCTTTTGGAAAGTGAATAAAACTTTGTCTTTGCTTAAAAAAACCATTTTGTCTTCAACTAAACCAGTAGACTTACTTCACATGAAGACATAATAACTCAACCGGTTCCTCAATGTTCTCCATACCTCTAAAATTGTCCTTTTTACAACTGAGGCCAATAGAAGGGGACCAGGAACTAGAGAAAAGGTTAGATCAAAAAGAATTAACCTAGAAGGTAACACACATGCATAGGAAATTAATGTGAGTCAATGCCCTGTATAGCTATCCTTATCTCAACTAGCAAAAACCCTTGTTCCTTCCTATTATTGCTTATACTCTCTCTTCAACAAAATTAGAGATAAGGGCAAAATAGTTTCTGCCGGGTATTGAGAGGGTGGGAAAGAGAGGGAGGGGGCGGAGTGGGTGGTAAGGGAGGGGGTGGGGGCAGGGGGAGAAATGACCCAAGCATTGTATGCACATATGAATAATAAAAAAATAAAAATTATAAAAAATAATAATAAAATAAAATAAAATTGTCCTTTTTAGAACTGTAGTGATTCAGAGACAGCAGATACTTTTGGTGGTGTCTAGTTCCCACTTCTACCTCCAATACCTTCATTTTATAAGGAAACAGACTCCTAGAGAGGGATACAGGGGCTAGAACAAGAGTCTTGGTTTATATTTCCTGGTCATGTATTCTTTCTACCATACCATGCTTTATATCATTCTTGCTTGCCAATAAAAATTAATCGTAAGTACTTTCCAACACTCTCCCCTTAATGGTCTTGGACTAACTGAAGCTTACTTGTTGACTTAGTCCTGGGTTAAGTTCTCTCTATACCAAGACTTTCACAATCAAAGTTCGACAACAATGATAAACTATACTCAGTTCCAAATGTTCTGAAATTCCAATAACTCAAGATTCAGATAAGATGTAAGATTTGACTCTTCACATAACCCTTGCATCAACCTGAACTCCCTCGAGCAGAGCAAGGCCAGAGAGGAATCTACTTCCCTTTCATTCTTTATTTTCATATCTCAGCAGGATCACCTTGATCTGTATATTGAGACATAGACCTCTCCGTGAAGGGCAAAGGAGAATGTGACAGAATCTGCCAAAATCCACATACATTTGGACTTCAGCTTCACTTTCTTCTAAAAACTTCCTTTCCTGAACTGACTTCTGACCTGCCAATTTTTCTATGCTGAATTAATTTTATATTCTCTGAGAGTTTACACATTCGACATTCCTTTTGGATTAAATTCTTGGCTTGGCTTCTTGACTGATTAGACACAGCCAGCTGCAAGACTGTGACTACACAGAAATTAAGGAAAATGTATGCTTCCCCTATCTTTTCCAATCAGAATCCCTTATACAAGCCAAATGCCAAAAGGGATCTAGAGGCCAAGATCTATGGTCTTCTAGGGTAATGCCACCCTTTTCCACCCAAACCAAGCAAACAAATAAAAACATTCCCTATAAGGCTATCGATCCCTGTTGTTACTCATTTTTCTCACTTGTATGGTGAAGAGTGGTGATGATCAGTTCTTTATTCTCATTATACCAAAATTTATGCATAAATGAAAAGGAAAAGATTGTGAGCAAGATTTAAAAACTGCAGACACACTGATCACCTGAAGGTAGCACTTTCCTGCTATTTATGGTGACTTCACAAGAACTGGTGTGCTTTAGTCACCCAAATACAAAAAAATACAAATACAAAAAATACGTGGTGAAGGTTTTATAGACTTCATTAGATATTGCAAGATCTATATAAAAAGAAGGCTAATTCAGTCCAAAGTTGGGCTATTTTTGTTGTTTTCATACTTTAGAGCCAAACATATAGGTAATTGACATGAATTGTCATCTCAACATGGATAACATGAAAGAAATAGGGATTTTAAAAATAGATTTATTTCTTTTGACCAAAATTTATGATATTTTGCTACATTTAGACAATGACTTTTATACTTATCACATATTTCTGGATAAAATCTCTTGACACAAAATCAAATACTTTTTGCTGAGCATAGTGGATCATGCCTGTAATCCCAGGTACTAGGAGGGCAGACATCAAGAGCATCAAGGTTTGAGGCCAGCCCGGGCAATTAGTTAGGTTGACCCCATCTCAACCAGTAGCTGGGTGTGGTATATACGCCTGCCCTCCCACCTACACAGGACACATAAATAGGAGGATCACAGTCCAAGTGAGTCTAGGCAAAACATTAGAGACCCTATTCCAAAAATACCTAAAGCAAGAAGAACTGGGGCATGACTCAATTTGTAGAGACCCTGCATAGCAAGTTAAAGGCTCTGAGTTCAAGTTAAACCCATTACCATCACCAAAAAAAAGAAGAATCAAATAGTTTCTCTTAGTATTGAATTATATATTGGGATTGCTTCAGAGCTTGTATTTTAGCATCTGTACTTTATACTACTTGAGATAGGGGATTTCATACAAGACATATTGAATATGGCAACTCCAGACAAATTCTGCCATTGAGTCCTAGGAATGGGGAGGGGGGATAAAGGAGAGCTGTGGAGGGAGGGGATAAATTCACATATGATATATTTGATACATTGTAAGAACTTTTGTAAATGCCACAATGCATACCTACCCAGCACAACAATTAAAAAAGAATCCTAGGTCCTAGTGTCCTCTAGTGGTTTCAAAAATGGAGACTAATATCAGTAAGTTTTTATGGCATAAGAGTAGAGTATAGCTTTCAGCCACAGTGATAGTTTTAGCTTTCAGAAATACATTTCTAGGAACATAATATCAACCTTACAAAATCATTTAATGATTTAAACAAGTAAGAGTTATAAGCGTTGTAAATGGAATTAAATCAAACAACTGAACAATTAATTTTACTCCAACTGCACAGGATATTACCATGTAAATCCATTCTTACTCAGCCAACTAATTAAATGTACCTTTCAGTGTCACATTTAAGCAAATGACCAGCTTGGTGACTGAGATAATTAATTCTCAAATCTGGTATGGAGGTGAAGCAATAGTAAATGGCGTATGACATGATATATGTTTGTATCTTCTTCCTACATCTTACCACCACCACACTAAAATTTACAAAGACTACTATCACTATTGCAGCCACATAGAGTGGCATAAGGGAACACACTAGCTACCTTTGACAAAACGTTTCCCCTCATGTTCTCTTTTCTATGCTTCTGTTTATGCTGTTCTGTCTGCATAAGATGCCCACAGGGGCCAGGAACATAATATAGATAGGTAAAATAGGCTGTGTATAACACAATATAGAATGATGGAAACTACCAAAGTACAGAGAGCATACCTCTTCCAAAAAAGGAAAACTACTAGTTAATTTTGGCCAGTTGCCACAAGGAGACCCAAAGTTGACAGAGCTTCCAACTTAAAAGAAAATTATTGACAATAATAATTGTACATCTTTATGGGGAACAGTGTGATGTTTTGGTACATTTATACATTGTATGTTGATTCAGGATATTTAGGTTGTCTACCATCTCAAACATTTATTATTTCATTGTGATAAGAACATTCAAAATCCTCTCTTCTAGCTATTTTGGATTAGATGATATAATACTTTTATCTATAGTCACCTTTGTGTAATAGACACCAGCACTTATAACCAAACTTTTAAGGAAAATTCATAATCTAGATTTTATGTGTTATTTCACAATTCCAAATTTCCAGCTACTGTTTTTGTAACTGTGAAGGTCAAATAAATGAAAAGACTCTATTCTTTTGTGTGGCTTTTTTTTTTTTTGCCTAACTTGACTGTAATCCCCTTAAAGTTAATGGAATTAAAATTTAAATTACATACATAAGTTTAAGTGTCCTGGAAGTCATATTAAAAAATGAAAAGTACTATACTTTATTTAACCCAATATATCTAAAATGTTATTTTGACATGCAATCAATATTCTCTAATATTTTTGGCAGTACCGGGGGTTGAACTGAGGGTTCTATGCTTGCTAGACAGGCACTCTAGCACTTGAGCCACTCCACCAGCCCTTTTTGTGTTGGTTATTTTTGAGATAGGGTCTCAAGTTTATGTCTGCGTCAACCCGGACTTCAATCCTCCTACTTGTGCTTCCCTGTAGCGTTGGAATGCGATGTGTGTGCCACAGTACCCAGCTATTCATAGAGATAGGAGTCTTTTTGCCTGAGCTGGCCTCGAACCTTTATCTTCCGTTCTCAACCTCCCAAGTAGCTAGGATTACAGGCTTGAGCCACTGTGCCCAATAATATTTTCTAAATTTTAATGACAAATGTTACATGTTTTTATACTAAGTCTTCCAAATTCAGTGTGTATTTTACTCTTTCAGCAAATCACAATGGATACTAGCCACGTTTCAAATTGTTACTTTTGGTTTGTGGCTACCATATTGGACAGTGCAGCAAAAAAAGGCAGGGGAAGGGGATTATTCTTACCTTACTGCCAAAGTGGGGATTAATAAATGTCACATCTTCCAAAGTCAGTAGGATTCTGTTGGGTCCTTTAATCAACTGGATCTTATTTATATGACGCCTGAAACAAACAGGAAATCAGAGGATCACAGGGGACTGGATTTTTTTTTGCAAAGTCAGGGTTGGTGTGCTCTAAAATAGCAGGTAAAGAATATACAAGATAATTTGTAAGAAAATCACACATGGATCTTTACCACAATACCCACAATAAAGGGAGGCAACAACTCTGGCCCTCGCAACTTGCAGAGTTACAAGAACCAAAAGAGAAAAATGAAAACACTATTGAAGAGACATCAGAAGAAAGAGGTGAGGGTAATGCATGGGGATGATATTTTAGACTGATAAAATAGCGATTCCACATAAAGGGCACATTTAAAACAACACCTCTGAATAATTCTAAAGAACTCAGTACACTTTCTCATATGCCATAATATCCAGCTTAATAATTGCAGGGCCAATAATCATTAATCTCCATTTTATAGACAAAAACACATTAAGGAAACAAAACAAAATTAATCAAATTGTGTGAGATCTCCTAGCCTTAGGCAGAGCTGGAACTTGAATCCTTGGTCCCTGGCTGTAGGCCCAGATTTCTGCCCATAAGACCACTTGTCTTGCAAAGTCGCATCTATGCGTTGCCAAAGCAACAGGTTTAAAAGTGGAAAAATTCAATCAGTTGGTTGCTTTGTCTACATGATTCCAAACAAGAGGACTGACTGAGTTTTTTTTTTTTTTCCTTTTCTGAATTGGTCTCTTGTCTGAGCTTTACATAGACACAGTTTAAACATGATTCTCTCCAAACATGCCCATTAATTTATAGTGAAGGTAATTATTTTCTACAAATCAATTACTAGCCACATAAGAGTTTATGATGTCTACCCATCACAAGTCAGGTGGGTCTGACAAGGCAACTTTGGAGGGAACCTTGGGTTTGTCAGTGTGGTTCTGTTCTTTTTGTTTTGGGGAATCTGACAGCTACTTTTTGGCTTTGTTTGTTCCATATCTCCATAATGGTCACTCTGGAATGTGTTCAAGCCAAGAGCCAGAGTGGGGAAAACAACTAAATCAAAATGCTTTGTCAAGTTACTCTAAGGAATAGTCTATAATGTCACTGTAGCTTTAAGTATCAGAAACCCAGTCAATTTTTCTCAGTGACTTCACTGGTTTGTAAACAAACAATTAATGTGTTTCTAATTGTCTGCCAACAAATATGTCCCTTATCACAGTGGGAGCTGCTGCACTGCAGAGAAAATTAAAAGAGCCCTGTAGTGAATTCTTGGGTAGAGCACATGAATCTTTTGGCAAAGTAAAACATCACTCCCTAACTTATCTGTTTCATATGTGTGGAGAATTGTCTTAAAGCGGGCACACCTGTAAAAATAATCATGCTACAGAATACAATCTAGTAGAAAGCAAATTGGACCAACTCCCATTCCAGAGACCTGAGGGGCAGGGTCGATCCTGTCATTAATTAGCCAGGTGCAGGTGACCTTGGATATATAATTTAACCTCTTCATGCCTCACTGTCTCTTATCTGGCAGGATAATAGTCCTTGCATTACCCGCTTCGTAGAGTTGTTTTGAAAATCAAATGAGATAATGTATGTGAAAGTGCTCTGAAAAGCGTGAAGCACTATGAAAGTATAAGGGCTCATTATTATCATTATCATCATTAGTATTACAAAGCACGGCAGAGCTTTATAGAAAGGCAATGCAATCTGGTTCAGAGGAGTAGGGAGAAAAGAGAAGTTCAAAGAATCCTTTGTTTTGGGGTGGTTAGGTTCTTTGCATGTCTTTCTTTCTGAAAAAAAACTTAAACAATCAAAACACACAGAAAAGGAAGGAACAGAGAGTCACTCTCCTGCAAGTAATCACCATCTATTACAGAAACTCATCAGCCGCTCAGCTCTTCTGATTGCAGCAGTGGTGGGCAGAGAGAGGGAGGACGGCAGCAAAGAGGGGCATCTTTTGTGCTTTGTTAGCTGAAGAACCAAGGACCAAGTGACTCTGGGAAATGATGTGCCTCTCTCCCATCTCTGAGTTTTCTGTGACCACTTGAAGTACCAATTGTCTCAAACTCATTTTCCTCTCCAATCATTTTCCTCTCTAATCATGTCCCTCTCCAATCATTTTCCTCTCCAGTCTTCTTTGCCCTTCAGCCCACAAGCTCCAAACAAATTCCCTCCACCCCCATGGATTTTTTTTTCTTTTTTCCTTCCCTTCCCAAAAATGACAGGTTGGGCTCATTCAAAGCCCAAAGAACTTGTCCATTCACTCAGAAAGACCAGCTAGAGCCATCATTTGGGGGGATTGACTAGTAATATAAGCATCTGAGTATTACTTCATTTTCTACCTTGGCATGGGATATTTTGGCATGGGAAAGACAGAGTCTATTACTCCTCAAATCTCTCTAGAGGGAGTAGTTTTTGGATTGTGGATGCCATTTATTTTTTGCTAAGTATCTAAGGATGTTAATTAAATACTTTATTCTTTGGCAGCAGCTAAATTAAGAATATTACATTTCTGTTCTTAGCAAGGATACATCACTGTCACAGAAAATAAAAGAAAAACTTCCTTTGAACCACTGTCTTTATCAAGTTTCTCATACAGGGAGAGGGGGATTGTATAATAGTAGTTTTCACAGTGATATCAACATACTAAACACTAAAAGTAACACCTGTTATGGTTTCAATCCATGTTTTCACAGGCTCATAAAATATCATAGCTGGAAGGACTCTTAAACATAATCTAATCCAATTCCTTCACTGAACAAATGAGAAAATTCTGGCCAATAGAGATTAAGTGGCTTATCCAAGTTCACACACTATTTAACACAGTCTACACATTTTTTCCTAGTGCTTAATATGTCAGTCAGGTACTGTTCTAAGTGCTTTACTTTATTTAATCTCCGCTATGAGCTTATGAGCTAGCATCACTATTCCTAGATCTTGGATTCTCACCAAAGTTGGGCTAATCCTTGGGATTAATTTAAATATTCCAGTTCCATTCTCCACCACATTATTTGGGGAAGGAGATGGTTATAGGAGACACTGCCAGGGGAAAAGGGAACACAAACAGGGAGCAAACAGGCCCTATAGTACTAATTCTCTTATTTCACTGTGTTGAAAGCCAGATCTATGCACAGGCAACAACACTGACAACACAGCTGATAAAGTTATTGTTGGCATCACAAAAACACTTCACTCTAAATGGGGCCAGTAGGAATGGTAAATCACTATGGAAAAGAAAATCAGTGGGTCATGTAATGAGGCAATTGTACTAAAACATGACTTCCTGGAAATCAATATTAACAAGGCTATTGTGGGCCTGTATTTTGTGTATACAAAAAGAACAAAAAATGTACCTTATAAAGTAAGCAAATCCATTAATACACAGCAAAGCTATAAGCAAAGCAAGGCAGACCATCATGGCAAAGGCGGGGTCGATGCCTGCAGAGAGCAAGAGGAAGAGGAAGAATGGCATTATCAGAGAAAAGCAGTAAATAAAGGGCACCACAGAGCGACTCCTTGTGCTTTCTGGTGACTCTAAAATCAAGCCACATCTACCTAACCTAATTCCATTTTTCTACAGCACAGTCTGTCTTGTTGACTTTATGGACACAGAAAGCAATTTCACTGTTCTGAAGCAAAACCACTCACCACTCTGACAATAACAAATCACATGAATTAAGGCTGACCGGGGTGTTTCTTTGGAGGAAAAAGTCCACGAATGGAAAACTTTGAGGACCTTAATTTAAGTTGGACAGCAATAGAGTTCTTGAGAATAAATATGTTATCTCACCTGTGAAGGGTAAGTATTATGTTGCCTTCATAAAATAAAAGACCTTTTCAATTCATCTGAGCCCACAAACTTCATGGGTTATAGATGGAAAACATAGTACTTATCCTTCAAGGGTGAGGGTAAGTCTTGTTTTGATAATTGCCATTGTCATCAGCATGTAAATTGGTCTCTGTAAAACCTAAATATCTGAATACATTACTAAGATTTCAGGGAAAAATATATGATGATGTGAATGAAGAGGTAGTTGTGTATTCATGTTAAATCAAAATACAGATCAATACCCATTTCAAATAGATGCATTTGTTTTTGGAAGGGTGCAGTGTATGTTCACATAAGAATAATATGAGTTCTTCCAAAGTTACCCTCTGGCTCTCAGCGATTTGATGAAGTTTCCCCTCTTCCACAAGCTAGAGGAGTCCTACCAGTCAATCAAACTGCAAGTATTTACTGGATGTCTGCTGTTTGTGCAGTTGGGCGGGGAGGGGGGGGACATAAGAATTATTAGCTATAGCCCCTACTCTCAAGTAGCAGAATATTTTGGAAGTGAGGAGATACAACCAATACACAAGAAACAATCAAAAAGCAATTTTGTGCTAAGCTGTAAGATACAGACACTTAGTGCAATGGGAGTTCACAGAGGAACAGGTGTAAGAATGGTATTTCTGTGGTAAGACCTGACTGGCAGGATTTGGATACATCAAGGGACAGATAGATGATCTTTCCGGTGGGGAAAACAATCACAGGTCACAGGCTACCAAAAGACCAAGGAAAAGGCAAATGCTTTCTTCTTAGAATAACCTCTTTGGGAAAGACTGAAATCATTTTTAAAAGGAGTGATGGGAGGGATTTAAATTGTGGATGATTATCTCTGGCTGGAAAGTACCTCTTATTGTTTTTATTATTTTAAATTAAGTAGATAAAGTTCCAAGACATTTATGCCACCCCATTGCAAGTGCCTAACTTTATGATTGTTTCAATATTAAAATATGCCTTATCTTAAGGAGGAACCCCTGTACCCAAAATGAGTTAAACTGACTACTGGTGATTTTCCATTCCTTACCTCCTCGGCAGATCTTCCCTTCTGCAAACCAGCACTTTGCATCTGCTCTAGGAGGCCTGCCACCCGGGAAGTGAATAGGGGTCCCTCCGAACCGTAGCAGCTCCGTTTCCATATCCACAGTATAGGTCCTATGGAGTTCCCATTCTTTCCAGTTGGTGTCCAGAATTACATATTCTGAAATTCCATTTCCATCTGAGTCTGTCCTTATCAACTGGTTGAATCCAAAGAACTGCATGTTTCTGGAATGCTGAACCAGGCTGGCAGCACTAGCCCGTCCATTTTCTTTCATAGCATTATTCACAGCTTGTGCGATAAAGTAAATCGAATTGTAGATGGTTCCAAACAACGGTGAAACCTATTTTTAAAAATTACAATTATCTTGGGCCCTCATTGCCCCAGAGCAATCTCAGAGTATATTTCAAGCCTGTGTTCATTATTATGTGCTGCACGTCTGAATGGAGTAGAGCTATGAAGACCCAGAGGGGGAAAAAATGTTTCTGAGGACTTGCTTGGTTTCTCTCCTGAATTTTTCTGCTTTTCTCCCCCAGGCCTTCCCATCTTTAAATATATCAAATATAACAATTTTATGAGCAAACCAAGTCATATACAATATATTTTTATGCTTCTAAACTAAGAAAGTGACCTTGGGTTACAAAGGACACTAAAAAAATGAATGGACTAGACAAGGGGGGTTCAAAGGAAATTTACTAAGTTAATTATTGGTGCATTATGCAAGGCAAAATCATTTTGCTGGTACTACTAAAGTGGTACTTATATGTGGAAAGACCGTAAATAATGTATTGCCACAGTCTATGTCTGTGTCCTGCCTTAGTTCAAAAGGTCTATTTTCCCCAGAGAAAAGTGAACAGAATTCAGTTTTAAACATACACATTCACACACACATATATAGACCCAAATGGTATAGTGTATAGAGAATGGGTTTTAATCAGAAAATCTGATATCCTACTGGTGTGAAAAGTATCAAAACTTTGGTGAGAAGTTACTGGAAATTGGTAAGGCTGCTATAGTAGATTGCATGACTAGCCCTGGTAAACAAAGTAATAATATCATCATACTAGGTATGATGTACTGCTTGTTAACCTTGGAAGTTATTTTTGGAACAAATCTTGTATCTTTTATCCCAAAAGGTAGAGAGGAACATCAAACAATCCATCTCCTCTGCAACCCCCACCCTCACAATACACATGGCCATGGCTTCCTAGTTTTCCATAGGATGGAGTTCAAGAAAAGCCATGGTCATGTCATCTTACCAAGCTTCAGTGAAAGCTGATACTCCCTACTTTGGTTTCACAAGGTCTAGAAAGCTTACCTCCTATAACAACCTTCTGTGAAAAAAGGACTTAAAATTGAGTGAATCATTTTTATGTTAGAAGTCCAAGTGAAGATGCACACAGATACAGTGGCTAGCAAGATACTGCCATGCCTTGTTTATGTAGAGCAAGAGTTTCCAACCTTAGCTATGCATTAGAATTACCCGAGGAGTATCAAAAACACCAATGCCAAACCCAACCCACACCAACAAAATGAGACATTTAAATTTTGGACCTAGTGATCAGTTTTATTTAAAACTCTGTAAGGATCCTAATATGCATTCAGGGTTTAAAACTAATGGTATGGAAGACGACACACTGGCCTGTGGTCTATTCATAATGTCATGATGTTTGGGCAAGTAACTTATCACCTTTCTCTGAGCTTCAGTTTCTTCCTCCTTAAAATGAGGGCACAGAATTATGAATATCTAAATCTTTAAGTCATCTTGTCTAGTTATCTAGAAAAGAGAGATCCAGAGAAGTCAAGAGATCTGTCAAGTTTTCTCAACTAAGCATAAAATCAAGACCAGAATCCAGGGTTCCCATTTCTCAGTTTAGCATTCTGGATTGGAGTTGTTCTTTGTGGTCCCTTCTGGTTCTGAACTTCTCCAAAAATCCTAACTCTTGATCAAGTCCTGGGACCAACCTTACCATGCAGACATTTTTTGTTTGGCCTATATCTGGGTTCTTCTTCGTCTTTCTGACCTCTTAACATTAGAGTGCTCCAAAGCTCAGTTCTTGGCTCTCTTCTCTATCCCCACTCTCTCACTTGGTGGTCACTTTTGCTTTCGTGGCTTTAAGTAGCATATGTATGCCATAACTCTCAGATTTATGATTCTAGCTGCAACCTCTCTCCTATAGTCCGGAGTCACATAGTCAATTGCCTACCTTGATATCTCTACTTGAATGTTAAATTTCAACATATCCAAAATTGATCTTCATATCCAATCCTCCTGCTTCAGCTACAATGAGTCTTCCCATTTTAGTTAATAGTTATTCTAGTTGTTCAAACCAAAACTGTTGCCCCAGATAACAGAAATAACTATCAGCAGAGCCTAAATCAGCACCTATCTCCTGAGTTTTGTACCAATGACCTCCCTCCACTACCCTGCCTCAACATGCACTTTGTAGAAATAGACCATAAATGGATGGATGGTATGTGCTGCCACCAAGGCTGGCTCACTTCCCTTAAGAAGTTTTGACTACAAAAAGCTAATTTAAGGGTTGTTGAACATTATGTGCACCCTATGTATTGGTGGTTTCTTAGCAAAAAAAAAAGCAGGGTTACCTGATCCTTGCTATCACAAATCTGAAGTATTTTTCTGAAATCTTGGAGCTCAGAGTCTCAGTCCCTCAGCTATTCACCATCTTGACATTCCCTTCTTTGTGTTTATATACAATGGAATTCTATTCAGCCACAAAGAAGAATGAAAATTTTGTCATTTGCAGGTAAAAGGATGGAACTAGAGAACATCATCTTAAGTCAAGTTAGCCAGGTGCAGAAGGCCAAAAGTTGCATGTTTTCTCTCATATGTGGAATGCAGACCTAATACAAATACAGCAATTCTATGAAGAACAGGTCACACTAAGGGAGGTCACATACAAGAAGAAGAGGCAAAAGAAGGAAGTTAAGAAGGTGAATATGGTTGATGTACTCTCTATACAAGCATGAACATAGAATTTTTAAAACAGTTGAAACCACCATAAGAAAGGGACTAAGGATGAAAGAAGAAAAGTAGAGATGAACCAAATCGGACTATAATACATAAAAACATGGAAGTGTCACAAGGAAACTCCCTGTGCAGCTCTTTTTTTTGTATTTTAAATGTTCTTTTTATTATTATTATTCATTTATTCACATGTGCATACATTGTTTGGGTCATTTCTCCCCCTTGCCTCCCTCCCCCACCCTCTCCCCCTTTCCTCCCTCAGTTCCAGGCAGGTCCTGTTCCTGTGCAGCTATCTTAAACAACCAAAATGTCATTTCTTCTTCTTCTTCTTTTCTTATACAAAATTGGAGAACAGGAAGGCAGAACACATCCTGCCTGGGAGGTTGGTATTAACTGGGAGTGGGGAGGAGGTGGGAAAATGGTGACGGAGGATGAACATAGTGCAAATACTGTGTATGCATGTATGTAAATGGAAAAATGATATCTGTTGAAACTATTCCTGGCAGGGGTAGGGGGCATGAAGGTGAATAGTGGAGGGAGTGCATTGAAGTACAATATCTTTGATATATTGTAAGAACTTCTGTAAATGCCCCCACCCACCACAAAAATAAAAAAGGGAAAAAAGTAATCATTAAAATACAAAAAAAAAAGAGGTTTTGACTAATTCCCCCTCCTGATATTCTTGGGTGCTCCATTTCATTGTCTTTAGGATTTTTGCAAGAGCCTGACAACTTTCTGGGGTTTTGGTAGGTATGACAATAAGTGAAGGATAAAAGGTAGAGTACAATCAATATTAGTAAAAACAAGTGAGCAAAAAAACACAGAGTAGCAAGCCCCAAACACAGAGAAAAATACTGGTGTTCTGTTTTAAAAGACACAAGGTCTTCTGGAAAAGAGTCTAAATCTACCTATAGCCAAAAGCAAAGGCTGAAACTCTTAAAAACACCTCTCTCTATGATTTGACCCATTACATTAGGTTTTTCAGCTGGTCAGCCAATACTGCCCTTTGTGCTCTCAGATTGACTGGTTAGAACTGACTGACAGCAACTCCATAAAATGACGGAAACTTAATCCTGTTCTTCAGGATTTTCTAGCCCCCTTACCATGTATTACACACAAACACACACACACACAGCCACAAAAGGCATGGCAGAGAGACCTGAAGATAAGGGAAAGAGCATTATTTTAACATTTGATTGCAAAAGAGAGGCTATCATAATGACCTATTCTAGATGTGAGGGCTCGGATTTGTGTTCATCCGTTTTGCCCTTCAGCAATGGGAATTTTCTCTTCCCAGAAGTCAAAAGCATACTGTATTAGCATCAATTACAAAAGTTCTTTGGTTGCATTTGTTGCAAATAATGAGAAAGAAAAGAAGTACAGGATGGAACAAGAGAAGAAGGGACATTTGCTATAGCCATTCTGGCTTCTCACTACAGCTCCAAAGAAGTATTTCAGAACTGGCAGGAACTCCTGTCAGACAGATGACCTTGTTGACATCACAGCCCAGAAAGAGGAGAACTCTGATGATTCAATCTATTGTTTTTGCCTACTGTACAGATCTGGACTGGAAGAAATAAATGAATGATAATTGAGACATATCATTGATTTTCACTTAATGGCTGTAGATAGCTCTATCTCAAGTATTTTAGAATTTTTTTTAAATGTAAGAATAAGTTCCAGGTTAAAGAGCATTGATTGTTCAGTTTAATGGTTCATGCTGTTAAGCTGATTATCATCAGTTCAGATTTGCTATGCTTGGGAAAGACATAAAACTAGCTTCTAAGAATTTTGTTCTCAGAAGTATTCATCAAAACATGCCAGGCTTGAAAAGCCATCACTTGGAGGACCAAATGGCAACATCACATTTGAACAAGAAGCCAGGTACATGAGAGATTAAGAAACCAAAGGGTAATTTAATTTCTATTATTAAAAATGATACGTCCAATAATGCATGATAGCAACCTTTGGACTTGGCCAAGAGATAGATAACAGGCCAATCTGTTGATGTGATCTCATCACTTTTATTTTATACAGACTATATATAGATATGTATATTTTATTTTATAAAGAATGTGCTACAAAGACAATTTTAACCACTGTGAGCTTTGAACAACCTTTCCTGACAACTTGTCTGGTGGGCACCTTCCTGGAATGTACCAATCCTAACCACAACCCTTTCATCTTAGGAGCCTCCTGCCAGGCACACTTATTTAGGGTAATGGAAAACAATAGTTGTAAGGAGTATCCCCAAGGCTTGCTAAGTAACCCAGAGGACTACCTTTGCTTAACCAAATAAGGCAACATTTGGAGAAAATAACCAAAATGTGTGTTCAAGCATTTAAAAACATTGA